AGAAATTCTTTCACATATTAAATAAAGTTCTGAATTGGGATAGGAAAAATGAAAATTATAGCTATTTCAATTAGATAACCAACTTAATTTTAATTATGTTATTATATACTATCTTTATACACATCTTTCATATCTTTTATAGCATATAAAAGCATCACATATATCTTTTATCGCTTGCCTAATCACTCCTAATAATCCAATTTCAAAAAAATACCATCAGATTTTATTTTTTCTTACATTTTTAGTAAATATAAAGCATCTTAGTCAAAATCGTAACACAGAAGGAAAATTATTTCTAATCTTGTTATTTTCAAAATAAGAGGAACTGCAAACTACTGAATATACGCTATATACAAATATTATGCTATATGATACTAGACACTGGCCGAGGACATAACTAAGAGGCATAAGCACATGCCTGGCAAGTACAAGGTCTTGAGTTTGATCCCTGGTACAAAAGAAAAAAATAGATATTGTACTGAATTGCTTTACTTAGATTATCTCATTTGATCTTTTTAACTTTTATTATCCACATTTAAATACTGAAAAAGATTCTGACTATAACCACTATGACTACATATTGGCACTGAACTCAGAAGACAAAACCATTTTTTAAATCCTAATTACTAGACTTTTAGGTAGTAACTTGATGTTTGGCTCCCTAGTAAAATTTCCTGAGTCTCTGCACATAAGACAGAAGACACTAAGAATTGTTTGAAAGTGTAGAGAAAGAAAGCAAGTGGCAAGAGCTTTGCTTCCTAATATAATGTCACTTACTTTATTCAGAATTTTCACTCCCAATAGTTGAAGAAGTACTCTTTATCAAGAGAATTACTTTTAATCTTTTTCTTCAAATAGTCTTAAAATGTACTTCAATGTCTTCAATGACGTAAAGGCAAAGTCCTTTGCCTAATGTTTTGCATGTATTATCAACAATGTCAGTATCCATATTCCTCAGTGTGTTTCATCAATGCAGCATGAAATTCTTTAAGCCTTTTCACTATTAAGATGAGTTTTCTTACCTATAATTTACCTATTATTACCCTATTCTGCCAGTTCCTTCTTTTTTTTCTTCTGGAACTGCTATCTCACATTAGGTTTTAAAATAATGTTGACTTTTCTGAATTTATTTTGTTTCATTCATGATTTCCATGTGTTAACATTTTTGCCCTGCAGCTGGGGCTATTTCTTACACGTGATCTTCCATTGACTGTGTCAAACTGAGTAAAAGCAGCTCAACTACAGAGGCTCAGCAATTCCACACCCTAGGGTATGAAGACCCATCCTAGGCTGACTTGTGCCTGGATGGTATAAAAAAGAAATTATCACTGGATCTGTTTCTGTTCCTGAGGAGGAGCTCTGGTCTTTGCCTTCACCTTGGACCTCATCTCCTGGCTTCCAGTACAGATTCTTCAGCCGTTCATCGCAGACCCATTGGCCTCCTGATCCAGATTCACGTGGGACACTGGACACTGCAATGAACTCCAGACCTTTGACTGGACCTTTCATTCTCCAGGGTGCAGACAGCCTCTGCATGCTTCTCCCATCCGACTCTGGGGCTGACCATTGTAAGGCAAACATGTAAATTGTTTCATGTTTGTGTATCTTGTGTTATATCTGTTTCTCTACTAACTCATCTACTTAATTTTTCACTTTGGAAACAAACCAGCTTTTTCAGGGAATCCAAGGAGTCTCTTCTATACTGTATTTTAATTATGTGGGGATTGTTTTTATACTCAAGTGTTCACCTGATCCTTTCAGTAATCCTCCATATATATGCTGATTATTCTCTCAGTATTTCCCTCTAGCTGACTAAGATGGGTTGCTACTTTTATTTAGCTTACCAGGCTTTAGGTTTAGAAGTTGGGATATTCCAATGAGAATCTCATATGTATTAGAAGACTATTTATTCTTATTATCTTTAGTTATTTGCCGTGGTTGCCAGTAAGCTGTTCTTTCTCTGAAGTACCCAAAAGAGGCTTCCAAAACAAATATATTTTGTTACTTTCACCCTGGAGAAATGTAGCAAAAAGGAAACAGCAGTATGATACCCACAGAACCAGCATAAAGGCATGGAAAGTATAAAAATCAATGTCTATCTTAAACTGAACTGACAGGAAGGTAGAGAACCAACCTTAGAAAACAAACAAACAAACAAACAAAAAACTCCATACAGTAGGTAGCAGGAAACACAACTGTTTTTTAGTAGGAACAATATGGCCAGCTCACTGCTAACACTGCAGCAAAAAAAATCTGCTGCTATGAATAATTTCTTAATATCTCTGTGACACTGCACACAAAATTCTACACTGTAGAAAGGAATGGCTGATTGACCAGAGGCCATCCCTGACTGCTAGGAGATGGAAGAGAAAGAAGATATGACTCCACTAGTTCTGTCCTCCCATAACTGTCCATAGCTACCATGTCATCTGTAAACTCAGAAAAGAAGCTGGATACGATCTAGCCAAAAAAGAAAAAAAAAACACAAATATCCCGTCATTATGACTCAGTATCTGACTCCATAAAAGGTACACTTATAATTTACTTTTAAAATAGACTTATAAGCGTTAACAACCACAAAACATCATATGACATATATTCATAAAAGAAAATATCATTTTTTAAATTTTCTGAAGACTTCATTCTGGGGATCAAGAAAAGAGGAAAATGAAAAACTTTGAAAGACAAAATATATGTTAATTTGTAAAGTAAATTTTGTTATATATAATATTGAAATATCAAACAGTAATGAACTCCAAAAGGTATGATTAATCATAAAATAATCAGGTCAGCATTTCAACACTGAGGCAAAAATTTTAAAAATCAATTTTGTATGCTAATCTCTCAAAACTGTTAAGACTCAAGCAAAAAGGAAAAAAGAGAAGGCTTCCAATTCTTTTGTTCAATCGTCTAACAGTAGAAATTTATCTCACAAAAATATGTCAGAGTTCCTTAACTATGCTCACATATAATCTATGAGAGGTGTCCAAGAACCTGAGAATACACCTAGAATGACATCTTGAAAAGCTAATTCAATATACAGAAAGGTCTATAACCAATCTTGATTCTCTTAAGTATGTTACATATTTTGTTTACTAGAAATTCTATCTTAATTGTATTATTATACTTTCAAAGCTCCTCTTGTCCTTCCCTCAACTTTTATAAAGCATGCAAACTTAAACAAAAGGAAAGCAGTATGTGTCCAAGAGGACAGCACGCAGATGCTAGGCCTGCAGAGATCCATTCTTTCAAAAGTCGTGAGTTAGAGGTCAGCCTGGGCTACATGGTGAGACCCTGTCTCAAAAACCAAAAACCCCACAAAAACAAACAAACAAACATACAAAAACCCAAGCCCTACATCTAATCCTTTCAGCAGAATCTAGATAAAAGGAGCATTTTCATTATACACATTCAGGAGAAGGGGATTTAGAAGAAAAAGACCAGAATGAGAAGGAGAGAAATACTATTTTCAATAAGATATTTAGAGAACTGAGGGAATAAAAAATTCAGAGAGCTACACATAGACAAACAGAATCCTGAAGGCTAACAAGGATAATATATTCAGAAAGTGAAAGCAACAATATTTTTTAATAATTGAGAAAAATTCAATAGATATGACAAGGTGACACAAGAATGGTAAAGACAGGGAAGCTGGAAGTCTAGATTAGGGAAAAATAATTATTCAAATCCAATCACAGTTCCCACATCCAAAAGCAAGCCACTTAAAAGGTCTGTGGTGAGAGTAAGCTCAAGGTAGGCCTAAGAACTTGGTTCAGGATGTGGCTGTGTTTGTGAGACTAAAAAGGAAATGAGAGAATTAATGAAAAATAGAATACGTCAGAAAACGGAAAGGACAGAATATACCGAGGGTTATGTCACTGGGTAATGAAGTGATAAAAGGTAAGTTACATGCCAAGCTTTGTAGGCATTTGAAGGAAACTAAAAACACATAATGGAGGCTGAAATAGATGGCTATGAGGAGGGAATAACCCTAAACACTATTATGAGAAAGTCTTAATAATAGCACAATTTTTAAATGGCATATATTTCAGTTTTAGCATAAAGAAAACCAATCATTTACAAATGGATGTCATCCAGGAAGACAATGATCACGCAACTTAATCTGTCATTTTGGCTGAACAAAAATCCATCCACTTGAGTATCAAGAAACAGGCAATAGGGGCTGGGGATTTAGCTCAGCGGCATAAGCACCTGCCTTGCAAGCACACAGTCATGAGTTCGATCCCCAGTACCGATAAAAAGGAAAAAGAAAAAAAGAAACAGGCAATAAAATCAGAAGAAACTACTTACTCTCTAGAGGCTTGCTTGTTTTAAGATTTCAAAATAAAAAGTTTAATACAATAAAGCAAAGACCTAAATACACACATCTGTGAAAGAAATACTGATTGAATAGAAATTCACTTATCTGAGCTATTTTAAATGGTTGAAAAGTTCAGTTTAGTTTGAAAATGTTTTCTCTACGGCACATATGAAAAATATTAAGTTTTGAACTACTAGATTCAAAACACATACTCCAGTATTAATATACTGGCTGGTATTCAATTTAACAACAAAAGAAAGGCCTCTCTGCCTTAGTATTAGGTGACTTTCTCTGAATCAACTTATAGTATCCAAATATGTTACCCAATTCAGTAGAAATTTATACTTTATAATGCCTCTCATTGAAGCAAGGATGGAAATCTTACAGCCTTTTAATAAAGAGACTATAAATTAACTAAATTTGACTACAGAAATACATCAAAATTTAGTTCTCTACTAGTGGGTGTCTGGCTTGCATTTGGAGAGTTACTGCTGTGCATTTTGTTCTTAACCAATTTTTAGATTACCATCTCTCTATTTCCCCTTAAGAAGCAATAAACTTTTACCTCCAGTGAAGGAGTACAAATCATCTACAATAAAAAAAAAAAAAGAATAAACTGTTGCTTAAAACGGTACATCATGCTTGCCTTACAATTTAGATGTCATCAAATAATTCTTACCGATACAGACGTCAATTTTTCCTTTAATTGCAGCTTCATGCAGAGGCGTATAATTCCAGTTATCCCTGGCATTCGGATCAGCTCCTTGGCAGAGTAATAGACTCACAACCTCAGCATGGCCAAAAGAACAGGCGTTGTGAAGTGGAATGAGGCCTCCATCATCACGAGCATGCACATTAGCACCCATCTGCAGTAAGTGCTCTACCACATCCTTCCTTCCAAAGCCTAAAAAGAAAGGGAAAAGATGTTTTATACACTAGATCAATTTTGTAAGAAGAACCCACAGGATAACTTTAAGTAACAAAAATATGCTGATTCTACAATAAAAAGGATTAAAAAATTAGCTGTGTCCAAACTGATTTTTCATTTCACAAAACTATATAAACAAAGAAAAGCTCTTCCTTTAGTCACTGGGCAGATGATTCAAAAAATGTTTCTTAATTATCAGTTATATGGTTAGGCAACTGTGCTAGAAATACAAAATGAATGAAACAAGACTCCTGTCCAAGGCGCCCTTTCCTCTCAAGCTTCACAAGACAAAATTATATGCACGAATTTCATTTTTGTACTTTAAGAATAAAGGTTATTTAAATACTGCGCACAATTGAAACTAAGATAAATTACATTTACATTATATCAGAGAAGCTAGACAAAGAGGAATGTCCAGTTAACAGAAATAAGTGGTGACAGTTTAGTTATAGGGACAACTAAAGAAGATGCAAGGCTATCTATTATTGGGACTAGCAACCAAATGATGCGCAATGGGTAGTTAAGTGAAACTACTCAAGATCAGATAGAGTGAGGCTGAGAAAACTGTAGGGCAGACAGGTGAGAATACACAATCAAAGGCTAGACGCATCACACTTTCATACAGTAAAAAGGAGGCAAGGGCAAGAATCAGATGCTGAAGCAGTGTAAAGGTTAGGTAGACACTTAAGGAAGAAATATCAAGAAGGACACCAAGGAAGTCAAGAAACAATAACATTATGCAAAACCCAGCATGATAAAGATTTAGTAAGATTAATAGGGAAGAGAAATGTGGCTACTGGTAATTTTAAAGTAATTTTACTGAAACAATAAATTTATGAGCTAGATTGCAATAGGGTAAAAAAGAAACTGTACATATTAGCATTTTATCTTTAGTATTTTTATTAATGATTTTTTACAACTTTATATTTTATACATTTATTAGTTAAGTATCACTACCTCCATACTATTAATATGAGGTAAAATTGTTAGAAAATGGCATCTTAAAAATCAAAGGTAGTGAGAAAGTTGTATCTTTCTCCATTTTATGTGCAGATTAAATAAATGAAGCAATTTGGAAAATACTAAGGAAAAGATCAACTTAATTAATATGTTCTCCATGATACCTAACGGAATTGAAAATGTCTCTAAGATAAAAGAGAGATTTCCATAGACATGGGTCACAACGTCAGAATTAGGCTTCAAATTAAGCTGAATGTTTTAGATGAGAAGAAAAAAAAAGTCAATTTTGCAATAATTAGTGAAAGAAATGCACAGAAAGATGCTAAAGTAACTGTCATCAATCTGCCAGAGTTTGTTTTGTTCTTAATACCTACAGAACTTTAAAACTGACTTTTTTTCAGAAAATGTTGGTTTTTTTATATAATTTTGTATTACAGGGGTACTGTAGAACATTGTGAATGTACTTGATACCACTGAATTATACACTTAAAAATTATCAAGATTTTAAATTGTTAAATATATTTGTCATGATTAAAAACTGACAAATTTAAACCACAAGTGAACAAAAAAAGGATGTTATATAAAGTTTAACGTGGAAAAGTGTCTAGATTAAGGAGTCTTTGAAATTAAAAATATACAAAACAAAGTACAACAGAAAACATTATTTAAAATTAAATGAATAGAAGTGGGATTATGGAATTTTGTTTTATTCATGATCACATAAAAGCGCATCTTAATCATCATATAAAGTATCAAGGGAAAGACTTTATGTGAGTAGGCCTGTTACCTCTCCAATCTTACTGAGTTTTAGTCTTTTACTAGGTGTTCTTTGAATGTGATAAACTTGATCCAACCCAGGATGCACTTGTTGTGCATATGTCTGAAGATCTCAGTCCCACAATGCCACAAGTTTACCTCCTTTGGTCATGTAATTCTCATTCTAAAAAGAAACTCATGAACACACTTTCACTGATCACCAACTTAAAGCCACTCATGTATACACACACCCTCCCATCACCACTTTTATAATCATCCTATTTTAATTTCCTCCTAAACTCAATCACTATAGGAAAATACTTACCACTTACTTTACTGGCCTATCATGTATTTTCCATTCAAAATGTTCCATGAAAAAAGGCGCCCTGACTGTCCCATAGGCTGTCAGTATCTTCATCACCTAGACAGTACCTATACACAATATGGGCTTCATAAAATATTGTTGAATACATAAACCTATATGACACTGTTTAACAGTAATTAAAGCAACTTAATATGTAAGTAGCTTTTAATTTTATACATACTTTAAATTCATAAAAACAAAAGTTAAAGGGTTTTCTACACAACTATAAAAAACATATTTCAAGAAAGCACCAGTTGTTCATGAAGAAAAATCATCTGCAATGTCATCACACATAACCACCTCGAATATTCTGATGACTAAACTTTCATATTTCTTTCTTTAGAGATGTGTAGATTTCTAAACATGTTTTTAATGTATTTTCACTGTTCAAATATCACAAATTTTTAGGGAAAATTTCTAAATTTATCATTTCTTATGGTTTCTGAGCATTCTATCACCTGTGTATACCATTTAGGTGTAATGGCTTTACCATTACAAAAAGATTTTTGCTATTATAAAAAAGTTAAAGTTTTATACATATAATCTTTGCATGTGTTTCCAAATATTCATGTAAAATAAATGGCTTGAAGCAGAAGTACTAAGTCAAAGGATAAACTTTTAATTTCATTTCTCAAACTGTCTTCTAATTCATTCAACTTCTATTTCTAACCAAAATGATTAAGAATATGTTATTTTCCCATCTTATTATGTTATTATTATTTACAATAAACTTTACAAAGAGGCAAGAAATTCCTCTATACTTCAGTTAACAACAAATACCATTTAAGACCCACAAGAGTGCATACATCATCTAGTGAGGTCTGAGTCATCTTTTTGTTTATATAAATATGTCCATTTTGACACAATGACAAAATTGTGAAACAACATATATTTCAGAACATGTCCCCATCATTGAGGGTCACATGATTGTACTTATTTTATTACTCTTGAAAATTAAATATCTAAATCGTCAAACTCAATTCTCGTGCCTCCTTTGTTCCCTCAGAGAAACAATTATGTGTTGTGTGTTACACCATGCATGATTTTATATTTTATACTATGTGTTTTCAGACATGTAATGATATGCTAATGTTATCCTTATATGTATATATTTTGTATTATATGTCATATCCCATGCTGTTACAATATACTACATAGTCATATTTCATTCCTCTCTGCTAGTGACTAACAGCAATTAGACAAAAAGAAAAATGAAGACCCTTTCAGGAAGAATTTTCTCCCAGAAGATAAAGGTTAAAGAAATCCCTTGTTTCCTCTCTCTCAAATTTAAAAAAAATCAAGATTATGAAAATAGTGCCCCAGAATCCTCCTTTGGCCTGTCGGCAGTCTCAGAGTGAGACTGATGCTCAACTCCCTTGCCCAGCTCCAGCGGGCAGTGCTGCTGGGGCAAAGTGGTTCCTGCACTTGCGCCCTCACAAGTTGTTCCCAGTGCCTGGGACTTCTGTGTATGCTAGGGGAGCAGGCTCAGGCACCACTTGATCCCATGGCCCACTCAGAGGTAAAAGATACCTACTTAAAGAGCATATGGTTCTGTTTCTGAACTCTCTACCTATACCTATGTCTTCAAAATTTTACTTACTTTCCCTTCCAATTCTTTATAGGTTCTAGATATAAAGAACTTGTCTAACTATACTAACTGTATTACTGGCTATAATTTTTTCTCACTCTGTGGATTTCCTTTTCACTCTGTTGGTAATTTCTCATGTTGTGCAAAACTATTTTAGTAAGATAAGATTTCATTTTTTGTTCTCTGTAATATTTCCCATGTGATCTGAGACTTGTTCATGAACTCTCTGCCTACACCTATGTCTTCAAGATTTCTACTTTATTTCTCTTGCAACAGATTTAGTGTTTCTGTTTTAATATTTAGATCTTTGATCCCTTTTAACTTTAGTTTGGTGCATGGTAATAGACAACGGGTCCAGTTTTAGTCTTCAGCATGTGGAAAGCCACCATTTATTAAAGAGGCTATCTTTCTTTCTGGGGACATGTTTGGTCCCTTCGTCAAAGATCAGGTGGTTGAGTGCATTTGGAGTTGGATCTGCATCTTTATCCTGCTCCACTGATCCTCAGATCTGTTTTTCTGTTAATACCAAGTTGATTTTATCATAGTGGTTTGGTAGTATAACTTTAAGTCAGGGACTGTGATGCCTCCTTCATTGCCTTTATTGCCCAGAATTGCTTTTGCTATTCTATGCCTCTTCTAATTCAAAATGAATTTTTAGGAATGTTTTCTCTACTTCTGAGGTATATTAATGATATTCTGATTAGGATGGCATTAAATTTATACAACAATTTTAGGAGTATGGTCATTTTTTCTGTTAGTTCTTCCTATATATGAGCAAGGACTATTGTTCCATTTTCAGATCCTCCTCAATCTCCTTTTTCAGAGTACTATTATATATTTTTAATATAATCTTTCACTTCCTTTGTTAGATTATTCCTAAGTACTTCTTTGTGTGTGTGTGCACCAGGACTGAACTCATAATCTCACACTTACTAGGCAAGTGCTTGAGCCACTGAGCAAAATGCCTGGTTCAGTATTTCATTTTTTTTGGATACTATTGTGAATGGTGTGATTTCCCCAATTTCCCTCTCAATGAGTTTGCTGTTTGTACACAGGAATGTTACTGGTTTTTGAATGTTGACTATGAATCCAGCTAAACGACTGAATTTGGTTATAAAATGTACAAGCCTTTTGGTGGAGTTTTTGGAGTCTTCTGCCAACAATTATAATTTAATTTCTTCTTTTCCTATCCATATTCCTTTTATTTCTCTTTTTTGTCTAATTGCTCTGGCTAATGTTTCCAGAACTACATCAAATAGGAGTGGTGACAGTGGACATCCCTGTCTTATTCCTGATTTTAGAGTGAAA